AAGAGTGGCACCCAGGGACCCAACAGTGACACTGAGGAACTCAGAAGTGACACCGAGGGCCCAACAGTGGCACCCAGAGACCCAGAAGTGGCACCAAATGGTCCAGAAGTGGCACCCAGGGACACAAGAGTGGCATGAGAGGCCCAGCTGCGACACTGAGGGCCCCAGAAGTGACATCAAATGGCCCAACAGTGGCACCCAGGGACTCAAGAGTGGCATGAGGGGCCTAGCAGTGACACCCCTGGATTCACGATGCCACCAAGGGCCCCGCAGTGTCCCCAAAGGCCCCGCAGCGCCCCCATAGGCCCCGCAGCGCCCCCAAAGGCCTCGCAGCGCCCCCAAAGGCCTCGCAGTGCCCCCAAAGGCCCCGCAGCGCCCCCAAAGGCCCCGCAGCGCCCCCATAGGCCCCGCAGCGCCCCCAAAGGCCTCGCAGTGCCCCCAAAGGCCTTGCAGTGTCCCCAAAGGCCTCGCAGTGCCCCCCAAAGGCCTCGCAGTGCCCCCAAAGGCCCCGCAGCGCCCCCAAAGGCCTTGCAGTGCCCCCAAAGGCCTCGCAGTGCCCCCAAAGGCCTCGCAGCGCCCCCAAAGGCCTCGCAGCGCCCCCAAAGGCCCCGCAGCGCCCCCAAAGGCCTCGCAGCGCCCCCAAAGGCCTCGCAGTGTCCCCAAAGGCCCCGCAGCGCCCCCAAAGGCCTCGCAGTGCCCCCAAAGGCCTCACAGTGCCCCCAAAGGCCTCGCAGTGCCCCCAAAGGCCTCACAGTGCCCCCAAAGGCCTCGCAGTGCCCCCAAAGGCCTTGCAGTGTCCCCAAAGGCCTCGCAGCGCCCCCAAAGGCCCCGCAGCGCCCCCAGCAGAGCCCACCTGCGTCTTGGAGTCGGGGCGCAGCCATGGCAGGCTGCCGTTGCGGCGCAGCTCGGCCAGCTTGGCGTTGAGTTTGTGCGCCAGCACGATGGTGAGCGGCATGCACTCCTCCGTCTCGTCCGTGGCGTAACCGAACATCAGGCCCTGCCGCCGCAAAAAGGGGCCGTTGCAGAGTTTGGAAGCGCGCGGCGCGGGCCGGCAGCGCGGCGCTGAACCCACCTGATCGCCGGCGCCGATGTCCTCCTCGCTGCGGTCCAGGTGGACGCCCTGAGCGATGTCCGGGGATTGCTGCTCCAGGGCAACCAGCACGTTGCACGTCTTGTAGTCGAAGCCTGGGGGGGGGAGGGCAGTGGGGGTCGGTGGGCTGCTGCAAGGCAGGGGAGGGGGGTCTGTGCTGCTCAGAGGGCTGAAGTGAGGGGTAGGAATGGGGGCTGTGCTGCTCCAAGGGTTGATCTGGGGGTGTGCAGGTTGGTGTGCTGCTCAAAGTGGGGGTGGGGGGTTCTGTGCTGCTCACAGGGTGGAATTGAGGGGTAGGAATGGGGGCTGTGCTGCTCACAGGGCTGATTTGGGAGGTGGGGGGGGGCTGTGCTGCTCAAAATGGGGTGGGGGGGGTCAATGTGCTGCTCCAAGGGCTGATTTGGAGGGTGGGAAGGGGGGCTGTGCTGCTCCAAGGGCTGATTTGGGGGTGAGGGGGATCTGAGGGTTGCTAAAAGCGGGATTGGGGAGGGTCTATGCAGCTCACAGGGCTGATTTGGGGGGGGGGGGGAGGGGAATTCAGTGGGCTGCTCCAAGGGGGGAGGTGGGGGGTCTGTGCTGCTCAGAGGGCTGAAGTGAGGGGTGGGAATGGGGGCTGTGCTGCTCACAGGGCTGATTTGGGAGGTGGGGGGGGGCTGTGCTGCTCAAAATGGGGGTGGGGGGGGGTCAATGTGCTGCTCCAAGGGCTGATTTGGAGGGTGGGAAGGGGGGCTGTGCTGCTCCAAGGGTTGATTTGGGGGTGTGGGGGTTGGTGTGCTGCTCCAAGGGGGGGCCGGGGGGGGGGTCTGTGCTGCTCAGAGGGTCAAATCAAGGGGTGGGGGGGGTCGGTGTGCTGCTTAAAGTGGGGGTGGTGGGTTTGTGCTGCTCAAAGAGTAGAATGAAGGGGTAGGAATGGGGTCTGTGCTGCTCCAAGGGCTGATTTGGAGGTGGGGGGGTTGGTGTGCTGCTCCAAATGGGGGTTGGGGGGTCTGTGCTGCTCAGAGGGTTGAACTGAGGGGTGGAGGGGGTTGGTGGGCTGCACAAAGAGTTGATTCGGGGATGGGGGGAACTGAGAACTGCTAAACGTGGGGGTGGGGGGGGGTCAGCGTGCTGCTCCAAGGGCTGATTTGGGGGCGGAGGGGGATGTGAGAGCTGCTAAGAGGGGGATTGGGGAGGGTCTATGCAGCTCCAAGGGCTGATATGGGGGTGGGGGGAGAGTCGGTGGGCTGCTTAAAGTGGGGGTGGGGGGTCTGTGCTGCTCAAAGGGCTGAATTGAGAGGTAGGAATGGGGGCTGTGCTGATTTGGGGGTGTTGGGGGGGGTCGGTGTGCTGCTCATAAGGCTGATTTGGGTCTGGGGGGGGGGGGGTGGTCAGTGTGCTGCTCCAAGGGTTGCTTTTGGGGTTGAGGGTCCTGTGCTGCTCCAAGGGGGATCTGGGGGGGTCCGTGCTGCTCCAAGGGCCGATTTGGGGGTCAGTGGGCTGCTCAAAGAGGAGGTGGAGGGGGGGGGGGGTCTGTGTTGCTCCAACAGTTGATTCCAGAGTTTGGGGTCCTGCGCTGCTCCAAGTGGGGTTTGGAGGAGGTTTGTGCTGCTCCAAGGGCCGATGTGGGGGTCAGGGGGGCGGTGGGCTGCTCAAAGAGGGGGTGGGGGGGGGGTCTGTGCTGCTCCAAGGGTTGTTTTGGGGGTTGGGGGTCCTGTGCTGCTCCAAGTGGGGTCTGAGGGGGGTCCGTGCTGCTCCAAGGGCCGATTTGGGGGTCAGTGGGCTGTTCAAAGGGGGGGGGGGGGGGGTCTGTATTGCTCCAATCGATTTTGGGGGTGGGGGTTCTGTGCTGCTCCAAGGGTTGTTTTGGGGGTTGGGGGTCCTGTGCTGCTCCAAGGTGGGTCTGGGGGGGATCCGTGCTGCTCCAAGGGCCGATTTGGGGGGGGGTGTTTGTGGCCCCCCGGTACCTTTGGAGGAGTCGTCGTATCCGATGTGCCGGATGGTGTCCCGCACCACCTTCTGATAATCCACAGCAGCTCGGGAGGTGATTTCACCCGCCAGCAGAATCATCCCCGTCTTTGCCACCGTTTCTGCAGGATTGGGAGGCGGGGGGGGGGGTTGCAATAAGGGAGGGGGGGGCGCCGAGCTCCAGGCTGAGCTCCAGGCTGAGCTCCTGCGCCGCTCCGGACCCCCCGCTCACCGCAGGCCACTTTGGCGTCGGGGTCCTGCCGCAGGTGGGCGTCCAGCACGGCATCGCTGATCTGATCGCAGATCTTATCTGGGGGGGGGGGCGGCGGGCGGCCTTTTGTACTGCGAGGGTCGGAGCCGCGCACCTTCTGTCCCCCCCCGCCCCCCCGCAGCCGTCCTTGGCGGCGACCTTTGGGAGCAGAGCCGGATACACCGGGGGGAGGGGGGGGGGGCGGTGGGTTCGGACCTTCGCCCCGCGGCCATCGGTGCCCCCCGCTGCGGGATCGGTGTCGGCGCATCGGGGGGGGGGGGGGGGGAGGGGAAGGAATGGGGATGGGGGTGGAGACGGTGCCGCCCCCGATTCCCCGCGCCGGGGGACGGAGATGCGGAAGGGCCGAAGGCGGCGCGGGAAGGAGGGGGTCCCGCAGCGCGGTGACAACGGGAGCGGCGCGGGGAGGGGTGGGGGCGGCGCTGGGATCCGCTGAGTCACGGCTCTGAGTCACGGCCCCCCCAACCCCCGCCCCCCCCCCCTCCGATCCCATCCCGCCGCCCCGCACCCCGATCCCCGCAATGTCACGGCGCTGCGTGTCCCGCTCCCCCCCCCCCCCGCCCCGCGCCCCCCCACGCGGTGACCACGTGCGCTGCGGGGCCCGCAATGCGGCGCGCGCGCCATGTGACGTCACACCTCCCCCCCCCGCCCCCCCGCAACTCCGCGACCCGCGGGAACCGGCGCGCGCGACCACCCCGCACCCACCCCGCCCCTCCCCTCCCCCGCTCCGACGAGGCCGCGCCTGCGCGATGGCCGCCCCGCCGGGCCCGCACCTGGGTGCCCTTCGCCCACGGACTCGGAGGTGAAGAGGAACGTTCCCTCCTCGATGAACACCTCGTGGAAGCCGTTCAGCTGCCCGTTCATGGCGCAGGGGCGGCGGACGCGGGCGGAGCGGAGCGCGGAGAGCAGCGACGCGCAGCGGGGAAGCAGCGAACTAAGAACGGCGCCGGCCGCCTCGCTCCTATTTATATCCTCGTCGCCCCGCCCGCTCGCGGCTCCCGACCAATGGCGTGCGCCGAGCGCGCCGCGAAGGAACCACGCGCGGAGGGCGGGGGGGGGGGGGGGGGAGCGTTACGTAACGCCCGGCGCTCCCCGCGCCGCCGCCGGTCTCTCGAGAGCCGCGAGGAGCGCCGGGCGGGCGGAGCGGTGAGGAACGGCGCGGGGCCGGCTGGCCGAGCGCCGTCCTCGCGGCCGGACGGACGGGGAGCGGCGATCCGCCGGGAGCTCCTCCCCCCCCGCCCGCATGGAGCGGCCCGGCGCGCGGAAACCCGCGGAGGCGGCGAGGCGCACGCGCTGAGAGGAGAGCGGGCCGCGCGTGCGCCGCGCCGTCACGGCGGGGCCGGGTTCTCGCGGGCCGCCATCTTGGGGCCGCGCGGCGCCGCCATTGTGCGCCTTCGGGCAGCGCCGCCGCACGGAGCGCGTGGTCCGCCGGTCCGCCGCCTCCAGGCCGGGCTGTGCGGGCCGCGCGAGGCCCCGTGGCGCGCCGGCGGCGCGGAGCAGTGCCGTGCGCTTCGCCTGGCGCCTCTGGCCGCCATCTTGTGCCGGGCACAGGTGCTGTGAGCGGGCCGAGTCCCGCGGCGGTGCGGGGCGGGTTGCGGGGCGCTGCTCCTCAGCCGCAGCGCAGGCCGTGTGGGTGTGCGGCACCGCGCGGCCCTCACGGCACGGACGGACCGCCGCACAGAACCGCGCCGCCAGGCGGCGGGGGGCGCGGTTACAGCCGCAGGCACCGCCCACTTATTTACATAGTGGGCGTGACCAAAGCGGCGATTTGTATTTTGGGCGGGAAGGCGCGGGCTTTTGGGGCTCCTCCGGTTGTGGGGCGGAGCAAACGGCGCTGCGCGCCTGGGCTGCGGCAACGGGACGGCGGAACCGGGGCGAACCGGGGCGGGAGGGACCTCGAGGACCGCGGAGCTCCAACCCCCCGCCGCACGCAGGGCCACCAACCTCCACATTCAACAGCAGCCCGGGCTGCCCAGGGCCCCATCCGACCTGGCCTCCAACCCCTCCAGGGATGGACGGGGCATCGCAGCCTCTCTGGCAGCTGTTCAGCCCCTCCCCGCTCTCACTGCACACAACTTCCCCTGACATCCGACCTCCAGCTGCCCTCCCTCCATTCAAACCGTTTCCCTCGTCCTGCTGCCATCTCCCCTTGCACACAGCTGACTCCCCTCCTGCCCGCAGGCTCCCTTCAGGCACTGCAGGCTGCACTGAGGTCACCCCGCAGCTTCTTTTCTCCATGCTGAACGAGCCCAGCTCCCTCAGCCCGTCTTCGTGGTGGAGGTGCTGCAGCCCCTGCTCATCTCTGCGGCTCCTCTGCACCCCCCTCCAGCAGCTCCCCGTCCTTCCTGTCCTGGGGGCTCCAGCCCTGGACGCAGTGCTGCAGATGGGGCCTCACAGGAGCAGAGCAGAGGGGGACGATCGCCTCCTGTCCCTGCTGCCCCCCCTCTGCTGACGGAGCCCAGGCTCCCGTTTGGTGCCCAGCTGCAATCACACACTGCTGGCTCGCGTTCAGCTTTGCATCCCTCAGGACCCCCGGCTCCGTCCCTGCAGGGCTGCTCTCCAGGAGCTCCATTCTGTGCTCATACCTGCGGCTCCTCCGGCCCGAGAGCTGAACCTCCCCAGGTCTGGAGCACAGGGCTGCTGAGGAGAGGCTGAAGGAGCTGGGATGTTCAGCCTGGAGGAGCTCAGGGCAGAGCTCACTGCTCCCTATGGCTGCTGAAGGGAGGCTGCAGGCAGCTGGGGGGCGGCCTCTGCTCTCGTGCCATCAGTGATGGGAGCAGAGGGAACGGCTTCAAGCTGCGGCAGGGGAGATTCAGGCTGGCCGTGAGGCTGTGTGACTGTCAGGAAGGTCAGGCACTGCAGTGGAGGCACAGGGAGGGGGGGGGGCACCGAGCCTGGGGTGTTGAAGGCAAGGCTGGGTGCTGTGCTGAGCGACGTGGCTCAGTGGGAGCTGCTGGTGACGGCTGAGCGGTTGGACTGGAGGAGCTCTGAGGCCTTTTCCACCCTTGATTCGATGGTTCTATGACAGCACAGCTGTACACACCATTCTGCTACAGACCCTGTCTGTATGTGAGGTGCAGCTTTTCGTTCACCACTCTGCGGTGGCTCCGTGTCAAAGATGACGCGCACTTCCAAATCCTTTCAGCAGAAGCTCCATTCCAACCCAACCATCCCACGTTTCCATGTCCTCTGAGCTCCATTCCAACCCAACCATCCCACGTTTCCATGTCCTCTGAGCTCCATTCCAACCCAACCATCCCACGTTTCCATGTCCTCTGAGCTCCATTCCAACCCAACCATCCTATGGTTCCATGTCCTCTGAGCTCCATTCCAACCCAACCATCCTATGGTTCCATGTCCTCTGCGCTCCATTCCAACCCAACCATCCTATGGTTCCATGTCCTGGAGTTGGAGTGGAGGAGCTCTGAGGCCTTTTCCACCCTTGATTCGATGGCTCTGATTCTATGTGTCCCTATGGAGTCCCCATGTGTCCCTACAGCAACCCGATGTTGTGCTGAAGGATGTGGTTCAGTGGGAGCTGCTGGTGATGGATGAGCGTCAGCAGCGCCTCAAATGAGCTCTGAGGCCTTTTCCACCCTGGATTCGATGGCTCTCATTCTGTTCGCCATCCCACCTTTCCGCCCGCTGATGCCGCTCTCCCTGTGGCTCCGTTCCGCAGCACAGCCACGCGCTTTGTAAAAAATGTTTTATCCGCTCCATTTCGGTACAAAACGCACGGCTGAAACCTCGGCCCCGGGGGGGGGACACAAAACCCATCGCAACGTTTCTCCTTTCCCCCCCCTTCTCCCCCATCCCAGCAGCGCCGCAGCGGCGCCGGGTCGGAGCGCCGTCCCTACGCGGTTTTCTGCTGCCCCTTCTTCCCGATCAGCGACTTGTGGATGTGCGGGATGACGCCTGCGGAGAGACGGCAGGGAGGCTGGGGGCAGCCGGACGGAGGGCGCCAACGGGGAGCCGGGGCTGTCACTGGGCGACCCTATGGGTGACCCTGTGGGTGTCCCTGTGGGTGCCCCTGTGGGTGTCCCTGTGGGTGTCCCTGTGCGTGCCCCTGTGGGTGTCCCTATGGGTGCCCCTGTGGGCGTCCCTGTGGGTGTCATTGTGCGATCCTATGGGTGCCCCATGGGTGTCCCTGTGGGTGTCCCTATGGGTGCCATTACTGCCAGTCAGTGACCCCATGGGTGTCCCTGTGGGTGTCCCTGTGGGTGTCCCTGTGGGTGCCCCATGGGTGTCCCTATGGGTGTCCCTGTGGGTGTCCCTATGGGTGCCATTACTGCCAGTCGGTGACCCCATGGGTGTCACTGTGCGACCCTATGGGTGTCCCATGGGTGTCCCTGTGGGTGCCCCTGTGGGTGCCCCTGTGGGTGCCCCTGTGGGTGTCCCTGTGGGTGTCCCTATGGGTGTCCCTGTGGGTGTCCCTGTGGGTGCCCCTGTGGGTGCCCCTGTGGGTGCCCCTATGGGTGACCCTATGGGTGACCCTATGGGTGCCCCTGTGGGTGCCCCTGTGGGTGCCCCTGTGGGTGCCCCTATGGGTGTCCCTGTGGGTGCCCCTGTGGGTGTCCCTGTGGGTGCCCCTATGGGTGCCCCTGTGGGTGTCCCTATGGGTGCCCCTATGGGTGCCCCTATGGGTGTCCCTGTGGGTGCCCCTGTGGGTGCCCCTGTGGGTGTCCCTATGGGCGCCCCTATGGGTGTCCCTGTGGGTGCCCCTGTGGGTGCCCCTGTGGGTGTCCCTGTGGGTGCCCCTGTGGGTGTCCCTATGGGTGCCCCTATGGGTGCCCCTGCGGGTGCCCCTGCGGGTGTCCCTGTGGGTGCCCCATGGGTGTCCCTATGGGTGTCCCTGTGGGTGCCATTAGTGCCCATGGGTGACACCATGGGTGACCCTATGGGTGACCCTATGGGTGCCCCTATGGGTGCCCCTATGGGTGCCATTACTGCCAGTGGGTGACCCCATGGGTGTCATTGTGGGACCCTATGGGTGTCCCTATGGGTGCCCCTATGGGTGCCATTACTGCCAGTCGGTGACCCCATGGGTGTCATTGTGGGACTCTATGGGTGCCCCTATGGGTGCCCCTATGGGTGCCCCTATGGGTGCCAGTCGGTGACCCCATGGGTGTCATTGTGGGACCCTATGGGTGTCCCTAAGGGTGTCCCTATGGGTGCCCCTATGGGTGCCATTACTGCCAGTGGGTGACCCCATGGGTGTCATTGTGGGACCCTATGGGTGTCCCTATGGGTGCCCCTATGGGTGCCCCTATGGGTGCCAGTCGGTGACCCCATGGGTGTCATTGTGGGACCCTATGGGTGTCCCTATGGGTGCCCCTATGGGTGCCATTACTGCCAGTGGGTGACCCCATGGGTGTCATTGTGGGACCCTATGGGTGTCCCTATGGGTGTCCCTATGGGTGCCCCTATGGGTGCCCCTATGGGTGCCCCTATGGGTGCCCCTATGGGTGCCATTACTGCCAGTCGGTGACCCCATGGGTGTCATTCTGCAACCCTATGGGTGCCCCATGGGTGTCCCTATGGGTGCCAGTCGGTGACCCCATGGGTGTCATTGTGGGACTCTATGGGTGTCCCTATGGGTGTCCCTATGGGTGCCCCTATGGGTGCCCCTATGGGTGCCATTACTGCCAGTCGGTGACCCCATGGGTGTCATTGTGGGACCCTATGGGTGTCCCTGTGGGTGCCATTAGTGCCAGTGGATGACCTTACGGGTGTCATTGTGCAACCCTGTGGGTGTCCCTATGGGTGTCCCTATGGGTGCCATTAGTGCCAGTGGGTGACACTATGGGTGTCATTGTGCGACCCTATGGGTGTCCCTATGGGTGCCATTACTGCTAGTGGGTGACACCATAGGTGCATTGTGGGACCCTGTGGGTGTCCCTGTGGGTGCCATTAGTGCCAGTGCATGACCTTATGGGTGTCACTGTGC